ATGGGCTGGAGTTTCTCCTGAGTGAATACTAGGTAAATGGGGAGGGTCCAGGGTGTTGGGGTGCTAATCAATAGGAGCCCAGCCCCAGAGCCTGTGCGTGCACAGGTGAGGACAGTGCGTGGCAGGATGAAGTTTGGACTCCCAGTAAGTCGTCAACTTTGTGACAGACCTTTCAGTGAGGAAGCCGAGCGGACCTCGGGCTAGTGGGGTCTGGGGCAGACATGGGTTTCTGGCGAACAGCTGGGCAGCTTCCTGGCAGCCACTGCCTCTGCCAAGGCTCCTTTCTAAACCCCAAGCCTTCCCAGTTCAGGCTCCTCTGACCTTTCTGTCAGGGTGGGAGACCTGAGTTCTAACCCCAGCTCTGCTACTCCCTCTCGGCCTGGCTGAAAAGGCTGAAGTGAGGCCCCACCATGATCCCAGATCCCACGAGTTCCACTCTGCCCCCTGAACGTGATGGCCTTGGTGTGAGCAGGTCTTGGTGTTCAGCAGAGCACCACCCCGAGACTGCCTTTGTTTGTGACAACAGAGTCCCTATTGTCAGCACACGACATCCTATCATGGATCAAGCAGGAGGAGCAGCCGTTCCCCTGGGGCCCACGAGACTCTGTGGATGGGGAGCTGGGCTTAGACGCTGGTCCTGGTGAGTGATGCCCCCTGGGGGTCCTGGGTGTTAGAGAATGAATAGCTGAGAGTAAAATCAGCCAATCACATGCTGCAGAATTCTATACGTAGTACTTGTTGCTAATGATTAAGCTAAGTGTGGTTTCTTATTCATATGATACCTGTATACCTGTATTCTACTGTCTTCTTGGTTTCTGATGAGAAATCAGCTGTTAATCTTATGAGAATTCCATGTACATGAGGAGTCACTTTTCTCTTGCTACTTTAAAGGTTCTCCCTCTGAGTTTGTTGACAGTTTGGTTATAATGCATGTCAGAGTAGATATATTTGATTTTGCTCTACTTGGAGTTCATTGAGTCCTTGGATATGTAGATTCATATATTTTGTCAAATTTGGGAGTGTTTTAAATCATTTTATTGGGGGCTCATACAACTCTTATCATAATCCACCCACCCATCCATCGTGTCAGGCACTTTTGTACATTTGTTTCCCCTCATCATTCTCAAAACATTTGTTTTCTACTTCCCTTGTTATCAGCTCATTTTTCCCCTCCCTCCCCGCTCCCCCATTGACCCTTGATAATTTATAAATTATTATTTTGTCATATATTACACCATCTGATGTCTCCCTTCACCCACTTTTCTGTTGTCCATCCCCCAGGACGGAGGTTATATGTAGATCCTTGTAACAGGTTGCCCCTTTCTCCCTCACCTTCCCCACCCTCCCGAAATTCGGGAGTTTTCAGCCACTATAGCATCAAGTACACTTCCTGCTCTCTTCTCTTCTTCCTGGATCTCATCGCATTCTGTTGGTCCACTTGGCTGTGTCTCTGAAGCCCCTTAGGCTATGTTCACTTTTCTTTTTTTTTTAATCTCTTTACATTTTTTTTTTCTTTTTTAACATTTTATTAGGG